CTTGAAGAGGAAATATTTCCTGCCGAAAATAAAGTCACTGTGAATGATTTCATGGCAACACTTATGTCAGAACCGGGACCGTCATGTCTTGTCTGGTTGCCTCTATTGCACAGATTGGCCACAGTCGAGACTATTGTCCATCCAACGATTTGTTCTGTTTGTCATAAAGAAAATTTTACTGGATTCCGTTATCGTTGTCAGCGGTGTCACGCCTACCAATTGTGTCAAGAATGCTTTTGGCATGGCAAGACATCGCTGAATCATCAGAACGATCACGAAGTTAAGGAATATTCGAGCTATAAATCACCAAGCAAACAAATTGGACATTCGTTGCGAAAAAGTTTTCGATGTGTTCCCGAAAAGACGACGCAAGTGTTGCCACGATTTCCAGAACAACCCGAAAAAACGCTTAATTTGTCACATATAGTACCGCCATCGCCATTACCCTCTCACAATGGTTTCTCTGATCCATCACTTTTGCATGGTCCAGGCACAGTTGGTCCTGGTGGTGGACTATTTGATCGTTCAAGTACATTAGACTCACGAGCGACTGGTCGTAGTTTAGATAGTGCAACAGCAGCGTCTATGTCTCGTGTAGTAGCTGCGTCGGCAAATGATGAAGAGCATAGGTTAATTGCACGTTACGCAGCGCGTCTAGCGCAAGAAAACCGTGCGGTAAGAATATAAATAATTAATGAAAAAAAAAAATTTTCAGATCTTATATTGAAAATTTTGTTTATATCATTTAAATATAGTAGCTATAATACACAACTAATAAATTTTATTTTAAATACAGCCCGTTGGTATGACTGGTGCAGAAAACGCAAATCCCATAACATCAGACAATTCACGTGCTCAACGAGAATTAATTGCGCAACTAGAAGCTAAAAACAAAGAAATAATGCGAGAAATTGCACGTTTACGTCGCCAACAAGAAGCTGAACAAATGGCACCTGAAAATCCAGCACTCATCAATGAACTGCGAGCATTGCGTCAGCGTAAAGGAGAACTAGAAGGGCATTTAGGAGCTTTACAAGACTCACGTCGTCAGTTAATGGAACAATTAGAAGGACTGATGCGTATGCTCAAAAATCAACAAACCGCCTCTCCACGCTCAACGCCAAATTCTAGCCCTCGCTCTGGTAAGTCCCCACCAATGCCATGTGGAGGTGCTGGAGGAGGACTTAATACACATGGTACATCACCGATGAATTCATTACATCAACAGCAGATGCCGCAAGTACATGCTATGATGGGTGGAAATGTGTTACGTTCAACTCAACAACAATTACTACAAGCCCAACAATCTACACCACTTTCTCAATCACCTATAGGACAGTCTGCGTTTAACCAAAATCAGCTAGATCAACTCAATCAAATTAGCAGTGAGGTTCGTGCTGCGTTTGCTGCCAATGGAAGTGCGCGTGAGTAATCAAATTGTTTATATATTATTATTTAGATATTATTATTTATTAAATTAACTATATAAACTATTAAAAAGATTTTTTTAAATTTGGTGTTAGATTAATCAATGTCCAGCTAAATATTCTATTGTATAGAAAAATTCCTTCAAACATTTTTAATTCACTATTTGCTTTGATATGTAAAGACTTGTGCTATAACCTTTTTTTTAATAATATATTTATTAGGCAATTGGAAATATATATAGAATAGGTTAAGGCTCTATATAATATGATTTAATATTTTTAAAATGTCAATTTAAGTCATATTTCGAAATTTCGTTATGGTTATTCCTTGCCCCCTCTTTTTACACTGCTTTTTATTTTGATTGACACGGAATCTATTTTGCCATCTCTAGAAAATGTTTCTTACATCTAATTGGGCAATTGAATCTTAAACTTAGAAGTGTTCCTTGATTTAAGATTACAAACCTTATTCCAGCTAACCCAATTGATTGACTTACGCATTGCTCACATATATTGATTTATTCTATTTACGATATCATTTCTATTATAATATTGAATACTCTACGAGTATTACGAGTATTCCTTTGTTTCAATTTTTATAATATATATCTTTGGAAGTTTAATTGAGATAGTTTGTTAGTTTTAGATAGTTCTCTAAAGAATGTGAATGTGATACTAAAATATATATACTAAAAAATAATAGTTAATAAAATATTTATGTGTATTATATTTGAGTTGTTCATATCTATAAACCAATTGTCTTGTTTATTAAATTAAACATTCGCTTTTACATTAAAATTTATATTAAAATAAAACAAAATGTGAGAAAACTCTCTCATCTCTTCATCTCTTTAACATAGATTTCTCTGTACTTTTAAATTAAAATATAATCAAAGACACTGATAAATATAATTAAAAATAGATAGATATCCAATAGTCTTTTAATTTTATTACTATATGCTTAGAACTCTTTCTACAATATCACTATAGCAATTAAATTTCTTAGTTACGATGTAAATGTTAAACATTACTCAAATGGATGTCCGTATTGTAAGAAATCCATTATGATATTAGAAATCGAACTAATAGTCTTTTAATCTTGAAGTAAGTTCTGAAGTAATACCAGAAATATTGTGCGAATATTTCTCTAGATCTAAACTAAACTAATATAACATTTGAATGAGCAATTCTAAAAAAATTGTCAGGGAATTGTGATCGTAGAATCACATGTAGTTTCGAACTGGGTACGAGGTAGGGCAATACTTTTTATTTCCGAACTTACCTTCTAAAACAGCAGATTTTGTGACGCTTAATATATTATGAGCATTTAGAGGGATGAGCTTTACGTATAAGTAACTAAATACCTTCCAAAAATAAATAAATAAATAACGTTTCTGTTCTCAATTTATTAAGAAAACCATTATAAGGTTTTTCAAATAATAAAGGAAATTTCCAACAAGAATACAAAGAGGTGTTCACTCTGTTTTGTAAAATCATTGCAAGGTGCACGAAATGGTTCGTTGCCAGCATGTATACATACATGGGTTTAGGTATAGCAAGATTGCAAATAATTGCAATACAGTTTTTCCTTTTTTGTTATTGACCGTTGTAAGCTCGTGCAATCTGTACATTTCATGGTGCTTGCAATGAGTTTGTGAGATAGAGTGAATACAACTAAAATATTTTTATCTCCACATATTCATAAAAAACCAAGAATTTCCTCTAAGACGTTTAAGGTTCGCATCACATTAAGGTAACATCCACACCAAAGCGATCACTTGCGAAGGAACGAACCTTAACAGGTACGAATGTGTGGATACACCTTTACATGGCTTTTTGCTCTACGACAAGATACTTTCATTTAGTTGAAAAGTCTTTTCGGTCATTTTACATTATACAATGATGGCAAAAAACCCGTCCAGCACAGTGAAGCTACAATCGATTATTATTAATTTTATTTATTTTATTTTCGTTGGTGACTTGTAATTGGAATCCATATCCTTAAATTAATGTTTGTGAAACATTGTGACCTGATTTCACTTTCTTCACTAAGAATTGCTGTCGATTAAAAATTGTTCTTTCCAAACGTATGCTTTTGCACAACCGACTTACACATAACGCATATAATATTATCATCATAAAACGAATTACACTGTTATATATTAATCCATGTAGTGTAGTAGTTATATTTAGGAAATATCATCAATAACGACTTATAATACATATATGACGCTGATATAGAAAAAAAATTAATTTTAACTTTACTAAAACTGAGACCAACTCAAAATTTGGATTTTTTATGGCTCAGCTCAAACATCTTATTCGAATGTGGAGCTTAACGAAGCGGCAGACTCTATTACCAATGCTATTTCTACATTAGTGAATGGTCTTCATACAGGTAAACGGGCAGCATAATTAAAAATGTATAAAGTAAAAATAAATTGAAGAATGTGCTTCTCTATTTGCAACTCGGCACTGTTTTGCTGCTTGGATCGAAATAGTAACACCGCTTGACCATATCATTTTGTTTCACCTTAATTTGAATTTTGGAAACCTTTAATTGATACATCTTTTCACATTCAAAATAACTGGATTTTATATGTATATGTTTTTTCTCATACAGCACTTAAATATCTCCTCTACTGCCATTCATAGTACTTTTATCGCACTTGATTTTCAAATCGCATTACCTTCATATGCACAACTCTTGTACATTTTGCGCGGCTTTGTAATGCAGAATGAATTATTTGTGTTGTTGTAAATACGTTGTTGAAATATTTTTCCAGGACAATCGAACAACTTAAATCAACCTCGTTTTATATTGCCACTAGGTAAGTTGGTATAGTGCTGCATTTGATCAAGTCACGTCTCCATATCACAGAGTCAATTTGTTCACCACATCAGTTAAAGCAACGCAGATTCGTGATTCTAAACCGAAAGATATTCTAATAGAATTCTAATAGAATTAAAAAAGAATTTTTGTTGCTTTTTTTTTATTTTTATTTCACATTTTTTGTTTTAGACTATTTTCCAAATAGACGGCATAAGAAAAGATGCAATTGTTGAATTCAGTTTGATTTTATTTTTCCTTTTTCAAATAAATTTTCTGCTCTTCATACCCAATGTCAACCTACAACTATAAAACAATGACCGTTACTGCAACTCTCCAAAAACAAAAAATAAAAAATAAAAAAAAAAATTATATATTATGAATTGTATGAATTTTTATTAAATCTATTATTTATAATATATGCAATAATGTATTTAATAAGAAACACGCCACATCGAAGGTGGTGAATCTTCTGATGAATATGAAATTGTGGAAGTATTTCAAAGTGATGAGGACTATGCCAATGAAAATGAGGATATACTTCATGAAGAAGCTCATATAGATCGGATACTTGGTTACAGACACTATCCAGAATATTTGATTGAGGATGACAATGCTGGTTTT